ACGAGGCTGATCGTGCACACTTTCGGAAAGCGTGTTGTGGAGATGTTTGAGGACTGGTTGCGACGGTGCTGTCGCTCAGTATGAGCGAAGTAGAAGTTGTTGAAGCGGGAAGCTCTTCAAAGAGAAAGCGCAGCGAAGTGTTTAAGTACTTCGATTGCTCCTGCGCTGCTTCGTCGAATTGCCTTGTGTGTGGCGCCATCCTGAAAACTCCAACAAACACGACGGCGCCTTTGTTGAATCACCTGGAGTGTCATCTGTGAAAAGTATGAAAGCTCAGCAGCTATGGCAGAGCAACGTAATGCTCCAAAGTCCAAGGAAGCAAGTATGATGCCGGCTTTCAAGCCCCGACTGAGTAATCGGAGCATTTGCGCCAGCGCACTAACAAAGAAAATTGGCTGCTTTATCGCAACTGGCTTGCACAGTTACACAGTCGTAGAAGAACCAGCTTTTCTGGAGCTGATGAAATGTGCAGTGCCCGAGTACAACGTTCCTTCTCGAACAACGTTCTCGAGGATTGTCGTGCCGGAAATGTGCGATGCTGCTAGGTATGCTGTCCCCACTTTGCTGAACAGCGTTTTAAGGAAGGACGTGGGGTATATCGCCATCACCACTGATGGCTGGACGTCACGAGCTGGCGACAGTTATGTGCCAGTGACGTGCCATGTGCTGAGTGAGGACTTTGTGCCTTACAATTTTCTGCTTGCGTGCCACTGCATGCGTGAATGCCACACTGCGGAGAATCTGCGCTCTCCGATCGGGGACGTCTTTGAGGAGTGGGCCATAGCTCTGATACTTTCTTGCTTTGTGGTTACTGATTACACCCGGAACTTTGTTTCTGCGATTGCCTGGACGCCGTGGGTGCACATTGCATGTTTTGCGCATACCTTGCAACTTTGCGTCCAAGATGCCAAGAAAGAAACCGAGGGTTTCACAAATGTGCACGCCGAAGTGCGAGCCATAGTGGGGTATTACAAACGGAGCAGCAGTGGAGGGGCAAGACTGCAGGATATACAAAAGAGGATGCGCATAGAAGTCCCTCTTGAGCTGGTACAAGATGTACCAAAAACCCACGTATAATACGAAGCATAACTTGAGGACCGCGAACAAAAAGAAAAAAGTTTTATCCGCATATAGTATGAAACAATTTAAGAACCACTTCAAATACCACCCAGGAAGTGTTAAGAAAAACATTTATTTGCGTCGTTAATAAACCTTAATCACTGTCATCACTTTCATCAGACTTTCTGTCCGACGCCTCCATCCAAAGGCAGTTGTCTTCAGTGCCGTCGAGCAAAGTTGAAAGCCCGCACTTTTTGAAAGGGCGAGCAACGAGCTTGCGCCGACGCTGTAAATAAAAGCCCGGCGCGGCGCATAAGCGAGCAACCCAATGTCGGCTCGCCAAAGTTCTCATGCAGCAGCTCGATGTTTACGGCAACAATGGCAAGGTGCCGTTCACGTTGCTCTTTTACAAAGTCAGGAAGACTTGCCTTGACATTGGCGAACACACCATTCTTGGGGCCTCTACAGCTTCTTCCCGTTCCGTTGCATGTGAACAGACCTTGCTTTTGCTGTCTCCATCTGCGGATGCTGCCCTCATTTACGGCGAATTGTCGTCAGGCAGCACTGTTGCCCCAATGTCTTCTGCAACCAAAAAGACTTTTCTTTTGAAGGCGGCCAAGTATTGTTTTGGTGCCGACGCCATTGCCTAGCCTGATTGTTGGTGGGCAGATGGTGGCGCCTCGGACATTGTGATTTTAACGATGATGAGAGCTGTTTTGAACGCCATATTGCTTTAAAACCAAAACTATGTCGAGCTGCGTTAGATCGCGCCTCATCGAAACTGAAATTTGTTGAGACCCGCGTATAATATGAGCCGTAAATTTTACATGGCAAGATTTGAAAAAAGAAAATAATAAATACTTTCTATTATATGCGGGTTTTTACGGTACCCACAAAATGGAATTGTAAGTACTCCATGCTGGCACGCCTGCTGAAGCTCTAGGCTGCTGTTGCGTTAGACCAGGCAGAAACCAATACCGTTGGGAACTTGACCACGGACGAATGGCACCCTGAAACGGCCTTGGTGTCGGTGCTGCAACCAATTGGAGATGCCGCAAGAGCTGCTTGTGCCAAGTCTTTTCCAACACTTTCCATGGTTGTTCCACTTGTTCACTGTGTAAAGATGTTGCTTCCTGAGGGCGCAAGTGGTACTCAAGACTAGGCGTTTTTCCAGAATTTTCTCAGGTCACTGAAAACAAGGTTCCTGGACGTAAGCACACAGGCACCTCATGCCCTCGCCATCTTCCTTGATCCTCGATTTAAAGACATCTGCTACTACAAGGAAGAAAAATAATGTAGAGTTTTACTAAGTAAAATGCTTCAGGATGCACCAGACTCAACACAGCACATGTCCGAAGAAAGTTGAGCCAAACAGCAATCTCAAACCAGTGAGCAGCCTTCAGTATGGAAGATGTTAAAAGCTTGGCATTGTCGAGAAAGAATGACGCACCACGTTGTCTAATGCAATAGGTCTACAACTACCTTCAGTCTCCAGTTTTGCCACATACCTACAGCTCGTTCCAGTGGTGGCAAACTGTGGGCAAAGAAAAGTATAAGACCCTCGCATGTGCACTGCGACAATACCTGGCGATTCCTGCAACCAAGGTTGCAAGCGAGAGACTGTTCTCAACGTGCTCAAACTCTGTGGCAAGCCGACGAGAGTCTGTTGCTGCAGAATATGTGGCAAAGCTTGTTTGTTTTTCTTTTTTTGCGTGGGAACTTTAAGTATCTTACGCTGACATGACAAGCCTTCTTATTTTCTTGTCTGCGAAAATAAGATGCCTAGTGTACTGTTTCATCTCACTCACATCAGGCTAGTGAAAAGAAATCTGGTAAGGCGTAAGATTCGTCTTTTTCTTCTTAGTTTCGCGCGACATGTGATTTTATGTTCAGCATCCGCATTAGCCTTGATATTATGTTTAGCATTCTAACAATTTAGTAGCTTTTGTCTCTATTTAATTATGTATCGTTGAACTCTAGTCATTATCGTCTAGCTGCATTGTTACAATGATTTTGAAACACATTTTGGAAAAAATGTACACGTTTTTTAATATGTACTCTTCTTTAGTAGCAGTCTACTTACTATTCGAAAATTATTCGATTTGTATTCGATTCAGTATCAAAATTCATTATTTGCGCACCCCCAGTATCGAGCTCTGTAGTTTTGTTGTTTGTTAGGTTGGGAGTTTCTTGTAAGCGGGGTGGGTCCACCTGCACTGCATTATAGTTGTAGGAAAGGGTTACCGTAGAGCTGCCGAATTAGCTATGCTTTGGAGTGACAACAGGAATATTCAAACGTCTCTCAACAAATAATAATACAAAAAATATGATTCAGCTTCCAGGCAGCATATGGAAAGCTCGGGAAGCGACATTTGTGAATCCTAATTGTCGCCAGTTGCGCCCGCCCTGCGCTAGGCACCAAAATGGCGGCACCTCAGAGACAATCGGGAAATGGGGTGTCAGTGCCCCAAGTCGGGTGTTTTCAAACTTGTTTACCTCGAGGAGCGCCCGTCTGCCTCAAACCCCCGCCCCTCTCGGCATTGTTGCGCGTGAGCAGTGCAGAGGTCTGCGGACTTTGTTAACAATAATGCGCGCGCTAGGGTATGTTTGGGTCATAGCTGCATACCGGTGCGTGGCTCAGACACGCACTGCCCAAGAGAATTCGGTTGCACGGGAAACCCTAGAGGGCCGTCTGGAGAACCCAATTTCAGAACCCATGCCCTAAGTGTAGTTTGTAAATGCGTAATTGCGTTCTCACTCGAGCAAGCTTCGATTTAGCCTCGAAAAGTGAAACATGCGACGGTCCGAGAGTGTTGGTCGGCTGCCAAACGCTCATGCTTCAAGCTCCACCGGCCAGGCAACGTAACTCTGAAAGAAAAAAAAAGGAAACTGAAGAGGCAGGAGGGAGGATTCCGAGACACTTTGAGAAGACTTCACCCGTTGCGAGAGCTTCGGAAACGAGAAAAAAAAATGATGCAAAAATCGCTGCTCTCATTACACTGATTTTCGATGGAATGCAGTAGCATTTAGTGCTGAGGTTTCAACTCAGCAACGGTAGGGAATTTCAACCTTGCAACGGTTTCCATACTATTGTATTCGGAGGGTCGGTCTGTTTTCCCGGGCATCGGCAGTTTCCTCCCGTTCCCTCGGGCGTCATTGGAAGCATGTAAGAGGTATTAACACTGAGAGTTGGGCTGGTTGGTACCTATGCATGGTGGTAAATACTAAAAAAAAACACAGGGACAGAGAAAGAAGTACAGAGGATGTGGCCTCGTCCTGTGTACCTCTTTCTCTGTCCCCGTGTTTTTTTGGAGTATTTACCCCCAAGCGTGCAAGAGGACGTAAGGAGCAAAACTCACGAAACCAGTCCGGTCCTAATCGTGACCGTCCAAGCGCAACACGGCTCCATGCACCAGGGTAATAAATGCTAAAGAATTTATAAAGAAGCAGTACAAAAAGAGGACGTACCAATGCTATTAGACCCTAGAAGGCCAAGATTGGTGTTGGTGAAATAACTGTGAGTGTTCAGACGAGCTCACAATAATTACTCCTAATGTAAGACCCCAGACCGGGGTGCGGAAAAATTTTGAAACTTTCAAGTCGAAAAAGACGACAACAGTAGGAGAACGAGAGCTGCATTTGAGACGGTCTCCTACTATCCTCTTTTTCTTCAACTTGAAAGTTTCTTCATTTTTCTGCGCCACAGTCTCGGGTGTTACACTATCACTGACACATGCCTCATAAAACGCAATTCTGTATTTGACGGTTTGATCGATAGATTAAAACAAGTTACATTTTCTTTTAGTGGCTCCAGGTTACCCCAACAACAAAACATATCCTTGTAACATGTTGTAGCAAGTGTCCCCGTGGTGATGAATTCGATTGTGACGAAGCGAATTGTGATGAAGCGTGTTGTGACGAGGCGGGTTGTGGCATTGCAGGGAGGAGCTTGAGCAGATCCATGGGGAGATCCTGTCTCTGTCGGAGCAGTTCTCCCGCCAGTGCCTAGAGAAGGCCTCCCTGGAGGAGAGGCTGCAGCTGGCCTCGCAGCAACTGCACGAGGCAAACTTCCAGGTGAGCCTGCCCTGGCCACTAAAAGCTGGCCAACATGGGCATCTGAGCGATGAGTTAGCGAAAAGTCGGCGCTGCACCGGTGCTACTGTCAGCGCCGTCTCAGCACCGAGTTAATGCTGCTTTGCATCTGTATGCAGGAAAAGGCGGGGTCACATGTGGTAGTCCGCCGATAGAGCTCAAACTCAGGTCTGTGTCTGTATATCTAAGTTGCCGCTGCAATGCACGTGTGAATGGACTTCTACTTGTTCTTGCTCTGGCGCAAACATCAAACTGACATCACGGCGAATCTGTTTACGAAGCTTTGTGGCGCGAGGTTTTGCACCTTCAGAAGTGTCTCGTCGTATGACCGCTCTTAGAGAAACACTCGACTCCCAAAAGTCTCTCTTAAGTGCCTGGATGGGATACTTCCGTAACAAGATTAAGTATTATAATATTGTCACGCATGACAATTGATGGGGCGACGAAACACTGAAGCAAATTTTTTACTAGGGTGAACTTGTGCCCAAACAAAATAAGATTGAGCAATTGATGACGGGCGTCGATGGCGGCGTAACGGCAGGACCGAGCGCGGGCGAAAGACTGCCTCGTACGGCGCGGCTTCTTTTAAGCCTTCTGCGGGAATCTAGAATATTTTGCCTCAATCCTCTTCGAACTATACATTCTGAACATTTACCAGCCAGACAATTCTCCAACCTTCTCAAATCTTTTTTTTTTTTTTTCTTCACATAAAGAAAAGTAAAAGGACACGCAGAGCCAAGAATCGAGCCCAAGCCACCCGCGTGTGCACCCAGTGCAGCAATATTGCATAAAACTCTATCCAGGCACTTTAAAAATAGTTTAGCACATTCACATTATTGCATAACGTGTGTCACGGCACTGGCAGATCGGCGCTCGCATAATCCGCTATCATTTCTGCCCCACCTGAGCATGATTCGAAGGATTTTGACGTTAGAGGACACAATTGCTCTGATTTGTGGCTCGACGGACAGAAAGTTTTGTTTTCTTCTAAACTCAGAGTTGCAGCGTGGTGAATGACTTAGCTGTTGACGTCACTGTGAGTTTCCGCCAAGGACGACCTTGTATGATCCCGGTGAGGTTTCCCTTGACAGCTGTTGCAGTTCAGTTCCTGTTTAACGCAAGAAGACACGCACAAGGTTGGCGAACTTGATAAAGAGAGAGAGAGAAAATAAATGCTGGTTTTGTAGAGATTCAAACCTGAGAGTGTGAAGAAGTTGTTTGCAGTTGACAGCTAGGAGACCGTGCCTCAGATTTATTTATTTATTTATTTATTTCAATACCCTCAGGGCCCATAGGGCATTACAGAGGGGGTGGGGCATATAAGAATTCACTCAAAAGAAAATACAAACGTAAAAGGCAGTGATTAAAACACAGTCAATTCGACAAAATATTAACAAAAGTGATTAGTAAGCGCTTCTTTAAAGGGACACTGACAGGGTATTTATGCTCGCCGAGGTTTTTAGTTGTACGTGACATATGAGAGCTCAACTACCCAGAACAGAATTTGCGGCTCGAAATTCGGTTTCTTTCCGCCCGAAAACCGCCGATCAAGAACTGGCCGGTTCGAGTCTCGCTCACTCTCTTTTCCGCGGTCACGGGCCATTTTCCAAGGTATCGATGCGACCACCAAATTTAATCAAAGTCGTGGGTCACCGAAGGCTTGCACTCAATATTAAAAATAGAAAAAAATATTAAACCCATTTTTTGTGGCTTCTAAAAAGCTGCAAATACGTTGATTGAAAAAAAAGTTCCACAGACAACCGGAAGCATTCTGTGCGTGCGTCGTTTCGCGTATCATGGAACTCGCGGGGACGGCGATGGCAGCGGACGACGGGCGTGGGACCTCTATTTCAGAACTGTCGTTCGCGGTACCGGCGAATTCTGTCTACCGTTAAAAGAGAAATTTGGGACTGATCAAAAGAATTGGTATTCATCCCGTACGACACGGCCGACCACCAAGCCGATTTGCACGAAGACGTCGCCGAGCCGTCGCTCCCTTCTCGTGGCTGAAGACATCGCTCGCGCAAACGTCAAGCACGACGTGTCTACTTCGAGTTGAATATGCACGCGTACGATTTCTTTACTAGGTGAGAATGTCGCCAATGCGTGGTGCATCGCAACTTCGACCCGGGAGTGCTTTTGCTAGAGGAAAATCGGCAGCAAACTTTCCAACTTACAGTTTATCAGCTGAATTATTACTAAGGAAAGAAATCCCCCAATTTCGATATGCCCCAGTAGCTCAGTGGGAAAGACGTCCGCTTCACACGCAGTAGGACCGGGTTCAATCCCCCGTGAAATTTTTTTTTTTTTTTTATGTTTACATTTCTTTTTTTTACAATTATTACTGAACAAAGAAACAAAAAAAAGTGAAAGCCGTTTACAAGTTCCTGTAACGCTGAATTGGAGCGCAGCTCTTGAGGAGGAGGAGTGGAGGGTATATTCCTCCTCCTCCCTCGTGATCATGCCTGCTAGTCCTCCTCCCCTCCTGCTCCCCCTCCCTCTCCTTTACCACCTCCTCGTCCTTCAAGCTCCTCCCCTCCCCTCGCCTCCGCCTCCTCGTCTCTCCTCCCCCCTCCTCCACCCTCGTACTGCTTTCCTCCTCGCCGCTGAAGTCATGTGACCCCCTCCCCCCGAGGTCACGTGACCCGCCCGGACCATACTACACAATGAGGGGAGGAGGAGAAGGAGGGGAAGAGGAGGAGGAGGGGAGGAGGAGGGGGAGGAGGAGGAGAGGGAGGGGCGCGGTTACGCCGACGGCGACGCCGACGCCGCTCAGGCTGGAAACGGGCCCCTAAGAGCTGCGCTCTAAAAAGAAATAATAAGAAACAAATGTTGTGGACGACACGTCGCTGAATTAAATGGTATGGGATTTCCTTTTTGATACCTGTGAACTCAATGTAATCACTTTCCACAAAATGCAAGGAGCATATAAATCGGGTAGCCTCCGCTTTCCGAGGTGCCCGTATATGTTCTACAGGAATTGCAGCCAGCCATTGGTCCCGATCCCGTTGACCTTTCGGAAACTCTGTCGCACAATGCCACTTCTGTTTCGGACGCAGGACATGTGAGCCAGCTCTTCACGCAACATCTTGGGTGTATTCTTTTCGGAGCCGATCAAAATTCACCACGGGCACTCACTACTCATCTCCAACTCCTCAATGTACAAGACAACTCATCTTGGAGTACAGAACAACGAGCGGAACATACATAACTGCAAAAGAATCCCACGGCGAACAGTTCCCGTACGACGCATGTCGTCTGCTACCGGGAAGGAGAAAAAAAAAAACACACGGTTGGGTGTAGCCACGTGACTTCCGCCACTCACTCTTTTCTCTCCACTTCTCCGACCTCCGTCGGGTTTCGGTTTCGGTTTCGAGCAGTTGCGTCTTTTGGCTTTATTAATAAAATACGCTACTCTGTTGTAAAATATTAATTGGGTAGTCCTCCGACACCATAATGAAGCGCCTGGCAAAATATTAAAAAAAAATTTTGGGGGGTGTCAGTGTCCCTTTAAATAAATCAAGTGATGGGATAGCTGCTAAAGATGCTTGAAGGTGGTTCCACTCAGAAGACGTTCTTGGTATGAAGGAGTCGTTGTATGCTGATGTCTCACAGTGAGGAATGCCGACCTTGAAACGATGATCAATGCGTGAAGAGATATATGCGGGGTTAAGGAATAACTTATCCTTTAGTGAAGCGTTGAAGTGATAAATTTTGTAGAAAAGGCATCGACGAGATATTTTTCGCCGTAAGGAAAGAAGAGGCAGGGACAATGAGGTTTTCATAGATGATACACTAGCGGTGCGATGATAGTTGGAATAGATAAAACGTACTCCACGATTTTGAACAGCTTCAACGTTAGTCACAAGCGTTGAGTGACCGGAGTCCCAGATTGATGAGGCGTACTCTAATTTTGAACGAACTAGAGTTCTGTACAGAAGCAATTTTAATGATATTGGGGCTAAAGAGAAGTTTCTTTTCAGATATCCAAGCATAGAGTTAGCGTTAGCGATAATATGATCAGTATGTAATTTCCATGAAACGTTAGAAGTAATGTGAACACCAAGGTATTTGTAAAACGTCACAGATTCCAGTAGGTTGTTAGAAATTGAGTATGGTGATGGGGAGGTGTTCCGACGGGAAACCCTCATGGATTTGCATTTGTTAGTGTTAAGAGTCATTTTCCATAAGTTACACCATTCGGATACAGCACACAGGTCACATTGAAGTAGTGTTACGTCAGAATCGTTAGTTATTTCACGATAAATTACACAGTCATCGGCAAATAAACTTATTAAGGATGATACACACAGTGGTAAGTCATTTATATAAATAAGGAACAAAAGAGGTCCTAAAACGGAACCTTGTGCGACACCAGAGGTAACAGGACTAAGGGAAGAATTAGTTTCATCCGCACAAACATATTGAGATTGACTAGTTAGGAAACATGTAATCCACGACAAAACATCAGGATCAATGTTAAGTTTGCCAAGTTTAAAAAGTAATAATTTATGAGAAACTTTATCAAAAGCTTTGGCGAAATCAAGAAACACACAGTCAACCTGGGACCCACGGTCAAGAATGGAAAGTAGGTCATTAGTGAAGGACAGAAGCTGAGTCTCACAAGAAAGAGATTTGCGAAAACCATGTTGTGAGGGTGAAAAGAAAGAACTCGAATCTAAGGAAATAACTAAGTGAGAATAAACAATGTGCTCTAAAAGTTTGCAGGGGGTGCTGGTTAACGAAATGGGTCTGTAACTAAGAGGATTATGTTTGTTACCTGTCTTGTGAAGTGGAACCACCTTTCCTTTTTTCCAATCATCCGGTAAGACACCAAGGTTGAGTGACTGCTGAAAAATTTTTGTAAGAAAAATTGACATGTCATGTTTAGTGTTCTTAAGAAATTTAGAGGTAATGTTGTCAACACCACACGAGGAAGAAACTTTCGAATTATCAATCAACTTTACAATCCTGTCGTAATCAAAAGCAAGCGGATCCATGGGAAAGAATGCATAATCTGGAAAAATAGGATAATCTAAAGTTCTAAACCATCATTATCAGTAAACGCCTTAACAAAGACGTCGTTCAGAATGGATGCACATTGAGCTTTCGGAATGTCAATACCCTCAACATCAGTGAGCGATACAGCCATTCCTTCAGGCCCGTTCATAACACTCCAAAATTGTTTAGGGCTATTTGCTAGCATTGAAAGAAGGGTAACATTAAAAAAAGTCAGTTTTGCTTGCTTGATGGCTGCCTTATAAGCATTGACAACAGATTTATAAAGCTCCCAGCGCTCAGCGAGGCCAGACAACTTTGCAGCGTGGAAAAGGCGTTTTTTCTTATTAGCAAGGCGTTTAAGAGTTACATTAAACCAGGGAGACACGTGGTTAGATACGATATTCCTACACGGAATGAATAAATTAGTTAGAGAATTTAGTTTGTTTTTAAACATGTTCCAATTAGTCCCAATCGTGCGATCTGACAACGCAGGCAGAAATTCATCAAGAAAGCAAGCCAACTCGTTATTTATTGCAGTGAAGTTTGCTTTGCTATAATCGAGAAAGTGTTTGGTAGATTTGTTAGCAACATGCGAGGAAGCTTGCAGGCTGAAATTCAAAATAGCATGGTCGCTAATGCCCGGTAAATAAGTTATAGAAGACGCGAGATTAGGGTCAGTTGTAAGAATAAGGTCTAACACATTGGCCGTCGCATCAGCAATCCGAGTAAGCTCAGTGACACATTGAAAAAAAAAAAAAAAAAAAATCGGAACAGAGACTAATAAAATTTGAGTAATCAGAAGAGCTACTAGATGCAGCGGGAAACGGTCCAGACCAGTTGATCAAGGGAAGATTAAAATCACCTAGTAAAAACATGGGTGCAAGGGGGAACCTTGAACAAATCATATTTAAAGCATCATGCAAATCCGAGCAAAAATTTGCAGGAGCGTTAAGAGGACGGTAACAAACGCTCAAAATAATATTTCTAAAAGCGCACTGTAGGCGTACGCAAACAAACTCCAACGGGGAAACAATATTCACGTGATAACATTCAATGGCTTTATTCACTGCGATTAAAACACCTCCCCCACGCCTCTCTGTTCTGTCACACCGATAAAAATTGTAGCATTGAACAGAGTCAAAAATTTCATTATCACGAACAACACTTGAAAGCCACGTTTCTGTCAAAACAACAATATCGCTTGATGATGCATCAATAACTATTGACAGGTCATCGCGGTTGCGGACTACGCTTCTTATGTTAGTAAAAAGAACTGAAATCTCATTTGGCAAAGGAAGGGAACTACGCGTGTGTTTACCGGCGTTTTTTTTTTTAGCTCAGAGGGGACAGATTGAAACGCGCTATCTCTAGTTAGTTAGGAGGCGGCTTCATAAACTTTGTTTGTGTTATGGTCGAACAAAAATTGCTTATCGCCGATATACAATTTGTCGACACGAAGTTTGTAACGACCCCCCTGGGTACAAGCAGATTCATGCAGCCGTTTTCTGGCAAGTTGAACATTTTGTGAAAAATCCTCGCTGATAGAAATACCCGTATTTTTTAGCTTGTAGCACGACCCCAGCACCGCATCCTTATGTGTAAAGAAGGAAAACTTTACAACAGTAGGCCTTTTCTTGCTGGTGTCGAACTTCCCGATGCGGTGAGCCCGTTCGATTGTAGCAGGGTCAATTTGTACGTCAAGCTTATCTGAGCGCACATCCAAAACCAGCTTTTCTGATTGAGCCCACGTTTCCTTAGCCGAGTCATCTATGCCAAAGAAAAGCAAGTTGGATCGACGGGAACGACACTCTGCGTCATCGGAACGACGCTTGAGAATGGCCAATTCCGAAAGTACCGACTCGAATTTCGCCTCAAGTTCGTCTGTCGAGTTCACTTTCGATTTGCAACTTGCGAGATCACTTTCAATTATTTCAACACGCGCGGTGAGAGTGGTTATTGAGTCATTTTTTCGTTTTTGTTCGTCCCTGATTTCTTTGAGCTGAATCAACACGCTTGCTTGGCCGGAGTGCATTTCGCTGACAAGCGACTCTATTTTCGCTAGTGACTCGGCTTCAGGTTTAGTCATGGGACCAGGGTTACGCTCTATGTCTCCACTAAGAAGTAACAGCAAGTCAAGAAACCGCTTCAGACACATCCGTGGGCATGGCAAAACAAGACAAACGTAATTACCTCTAACGGAGTACGAAAGTTTTTGCCTACTAACCTGCAGAGCAAACAGGAGCGGTATGTTAGGCGTCATTGTCGTAGCATTTTCGCCGTGCCCAATGTGCAGTGTGAATAGCAGCACTGTAATCTTAATGTATTTGTATCGTATTTGTATTTGTTTATTTTGGGTGCCTGATAATAGCGCAAGCCTACAAATTGGTGCACTTGTTCGTAACAATGCAGATTACATATAAATACAAACAAGATAGGTTTGAGCACTTCACGCACTTCAACGCAAGAATTGAATATAGTTACAAAGCATAAACATTATTTTAGTACACGAAGCAAGCATTTCTTAAATTGAGGTAAGTTAGGGTTCAAAATGTCAATGCCATCCGATTCCATATGATTGGAATAGTTTTGCAGGTGGCTTGAGGGTGACGTGAAATCACTATGATTGACGTGGAACATGCGATTATAACCAACTGTTCTCCTGGGTATATGATAGTTAATAGATCCAGAGAGCTAATATCGTAATAGGAATGTATGCATTTAAACAAGGACACATGGTCACGCAAACATCGTCTTGATGCAAGGTTAGTAATTTGCGGTAGTCTAGGTACATTATTGTAAGCATACGAGTCACGTAAACAAGATCCCCGCACTCCGAGGCCAGCTTTGCCACACCCGCTGCTTCTGCCAGGATGGCAACTGGGCAGCAGCGTCTGTGGCGTCGTCTAGTGGATGGAGTGCTTTTTTTGGATGCGGTAAACGCATCGGTCGTCGGAGGCAGCGTACCGGAAGTGAGGAGCCCATGTGCTTGGTTGGTTCCAGGCACAGGCGGGAGACTGGGCTAACACGTGGCATGTCCTTGCAGGTGCTGGACTTGCTGGCGAGGAACAAGCAGCTGTCTGCCCAGCTGAGCCTGCAGGTGCTCCAGAGGGAGCAGGCATCCCAGGACTCCCCGGAGGAACTCCAGGTACTTCTCCTTCCCTTAATTTACCTGTCTACAGTCTCTCCAGAGAGCAGTCCCAAGCACTGCCGTCTTTCCGCCATTCTGTATATTCGAAACAGCTATTGAGAAGAGGTCAGATGAAGGCCAAAACCAGCATTAAAATTTTCACACACTCTCCAGTGAGGCACACATTGTATAACTTGAGAGTTGTGCCGGCAGTCTAGGAATTGCAGTATTGTGTGTTTTTTAAAGCTTTCTTAGGATCTTCAGGGCACTTGGAGGTGTTTCTGGCCGTTTATTTTCCGAGCTAAATTTAGCGGGGAAAATATTGTCGCATGACCTCAACCATGGAGTTATTATAGTGTGCTCTAGAGGTTCAACTGGCGCTAGTGTGCCGTGGCAAATTGAAGCAGACGGCAACCAGTCGGAAATTGACTTCCGCGAATGCATTTCTACACAAAAAAAGAGTGATTTTTCTCCCCACACTCAATTATAAAGGCAAATATCACGAATAATTTGTACGTAGTAGGTAGATAAAAACTTTCCTCAGTCATGCAGACGAAATAATTGGTCAGTTATAGCGTTTTTGTAGCGTCGGCTACACAGGCCGAGGTTGAGCAGTTTCGCGTGGCTCGCATAATGAGCCGTGCTCCGTGCTGCGCATGCGCAAGGACCAGTGATGTCGCACGGCGCACAGCTGGTGCGCCAAAGCCGCCGCTGCCTTGCCCGCCTCGCCGGTCTGCGCATTCCAGAGGTGTGACGTCACAGCCGCGGCAGACGCACTGGCGCCGCCTCGTGCCCAGCTGTGCGCCTCCGCTGCGCAGTAGCCAAGTCTGACGCTGCACCGGAGCCGCTTGATAGCGCCTCTCATTTTGTGCGCGTAAGCTCACGCTACGTATATCCTGGCATAGCCGAGCTAAGCCACCGCAATTTTTATTCCAAATTCATGGCCTTAAAAACTGTGCTAAAACGGCCTCATACATGCATTTGTGTGCACTCTTTGACACTGTTAACGTGCACACAACGTCGGCGTTTTCCAGCATGAGGATCATATCGTGTTTTCACGTTTGTAACTCACACTTTTTTTCACCAAAAGCGGTGCCCTAAAATACATCTGTTTCAATCAAAACCAAAAACTCAAGAATAAAAACGCAATACTCGGTATAAGGTGGCTAGCCCCATCGCCATCGTGGCCGTTTGTTTACGTTTGTCATTTTGGTGTCAGTATCACGCATACTCTCAAGTCTAGGACTCATGTCTGCCATCTTAAAATGGAAAAAAAAAGAAAGAAATTTGACTATGAGGCTTTACTTAAATGAAAGGCCATCACGCTGGCGGGAAAGAATAACAACGGAGCAGCACCGCTTGGCCTCGCAATTCCAGTGACCCAACGAGCTCGCAAAGTTGTTTGGAAGATGACCTTCTCAGGAGGTGACGATTGCATGCTTGTACAAGCGCAAGCGCGGCACTTGAAATGCTTCAGACAAAAGCCAGGATTACCTTTGTGGAAAGCGAAGAACCATTGTCGGACTCTGACAACGGTGACTAGTGCACAATATTTATTTTTGTATTGGCATGCGTACCATAAAACCTCTTCCATGAGGTGTCCGTTCAGCCCTCCTTTTTTTTTACCTGCGCGTTACAATCGGGGGCTTGTTACAATCGTGCAAACACGGTACGTACCAAACGAACGAAGGACATCCGGAAAACCGAAAGAGAGACGGCAAGAACTATGCAGTAACACCGGATCAGTATCGTATATTGCCACGTATAAGACGATCCGAATATAAGTCGACCGCCCTGATGTTGGACAACCGCCAACCGAAAAAAAGATTTTTTTTTTTAAAAGATGCAAGTTATGCCACACGAATGTCACATTTATTCGCATAGAGGCAGGTGAGGTCTCCCTAAGGGCTCGTGTCTCACTCGTCGTCGCTCGTCACGGTGACGTAGTCACTGCTGTCGCAGCCTTGTGGGGCAGAGGAGCTGGTGCTTAGGTCACGTGGTTTGATGTCACGTGACCTAAGCAGAAGTTCAGTTTCCTTGCTAGATTTAGCAGGTAAAATGATGCTGCATGACTTGATGTCACATGACCTCAACTCAAATTCAGTTTCTTCGTTATATTTAGCAGGGAAAATGACGTCGCATGGCTTGATGTCACGTGATCTACACAAAAATTCAGTTTTTCTACTTAGTTTAGTGTGGAAAAGGATGTACCAGTTAAGTTTCCCCGCTAGATTTAGCGGAGAAAATTACGTCACATGACTTGATGACCTTAGCAGCAATCTTGTTTTCCTGCTAAATTTAGCGAAAAAAATGACATCCACAAATTCAGATATCCTCTCAGTACTGAAACCATGGTCGCAATCGTGACGTTGGCAGAATTTACGCTGCAGCGGGGCCGCTTATGTGGGAACTGACATCTCTATTTAGCAACAACGCATGCCGTCAAAACAATGGAGCCAGACGAAGCAAAATAGTTGACATGGGATGCTAGGCCTACTCCCGTCTCACTACAAAAACATGCACTTGGGCAAAGCTTCCTAAGGTGACCGACTGCCTTAGGTGTGAATGCTATAGGTGACACATACACCACCAGTTGCATGACCATCATAACCGTCACGTGGTTCACCAGAGCTATCTGGTGATGTTACCCAGTCATGTCACGTACCTACCAATGAATCTGGGTGTCACTGTTTCGTCGTGGTATCGCGCAACGTAATGCAGCTCATGTTGCAGTGTCACATCGCATGGCTGCATGACTAGACACGACCATCAGGACGCTGATGATGTCGCGTGACCACTGTGTGCTAAATCATTCTGCTTGCTTTATACATTGAGGTGTTTCTTCTTCTTTTTTCAGAAGCTGTTGGCATTGAGGGAAAGTCAGCTCGTGCAGCAGCATGAGGAGAACGCCCAGGCCGTGCATTGCCTCCAGCTGGCCAGAACGGTGGGTTTTGGTCCAGCACGGGCTCGATAGTACGCACAGTGAAAATCCAGTAGAACCTCGTTGATGCTGTTTTCAGGAGACCCAAGTAAGCTATGGTGCGGGAAATGTGTCGGCCAATGATGCCTGTAGATGAAAAGTTCTCACTTCCATAACCGGGAACTACCGTATTTATTCGTATATACCGTGAATTTCTGTAAAAGCCCCCACCCAAAATGAAGAGGTACAGTCGAGCCCGTTCATAAAAAAAAGTCAACGGGTATCGGAAATCACTTTGCTATATCCGCTTTGTCATTATATCTGGACTCCATATAAGTAACACGAAAAAAAAAAAAAAAAAAAAAAAAAAAAAGATAACGCAGGCCGTCACGGGCACACGTTTCCAGTTGAGACTTCCCTGCATGCGCTCCCTGCTAGATTGGAGCCGCTTCTTGCCAACTGCTCCGATTGAGAAGAGATCTTGCGAGCTACGTACAGACTGTGTCGACAGCTGCGGCGACCGCTGCGAAGGATGCCGGGGGTGGACGACATTCTTTACGTTTTTGCGAACTTCGTCGAGGATGACGGCACGCTTTTGTTTCAAGAAGATTGCCTTAGGCGTCCCCGTCAAGGGGCCAGCATTGCTGGGACTCGCCATCATTGCGTGGCGATGATTCACCGAATTGGTGCTTGAGTGAAGCTAGATTTTAGTTTAGAGAGGAACCACACTGACCAGCAACTTCGACACGAAACACAAAGCCAACAAAGATGCGCGTGTGGCACCGAGTTTGTGTTCAAGTTTGTGTTTCGTTGGTGTAGAGAGTTTATATTTGGGAGAGGAGGCAACTGCTCCATCAGGGTCGTGCAGTCTGTGTTTGCAAAACGAGCTGCCGCCTGCAAGGAGTGAAATGCATTCAACGTCTGGAAACGTGTCCATCTTTCCGCCCGGCTTCCTGGCTACACTACAACCAAGTGCCGGCACACTTGCGCCAATCTTCCCAGGAGGCGTCAGCCATTAAATTGCAAATGCTCTCTATGGTTGGAGTTGCTCCCTCTCTTAAATCTAAGCTTCCTCCGTTGTTATGTTGTCACTAGCAGTCCGAATGCCCCTATCGGCATGCCACGACAACTTCTTCGCGTGTGATGCGGAAAAGCCGCTTCCCAGGTAAGAAGCAGGGAGCAGACGACGATGCAGAGGCTGCCGCTGGCGGCCTTTGCAGCATGTCTGCAGCTTGTTCTGGTTGGCCACTCGGCCGCAGCCACAAAGTGCGGCAATCTGCGACTCAGTAAACTTTCGAATTTGATTTGAAAGCGATCACTTTAAGGAGCTGATATCGCAGAAAAGCCAGCATCGGCGGCGGAAGGGAAAATGCAAGATTGGTCGAACTCTAGCTTCAGTTGTGAGCCAGGTCTAGTTGTCTGAAACCGTTCCCCCTCTCCTTGTTTCTGCTTCGCACCTTTGCTTGCCCAGGACCCGCCGCCCTGCGTCCTGCACTAAACATGACCTTGGGGCATTGGACTTTTCTAGAACCGTCGTTCCCCTCTCTGTCGCCCTTAACCGTGGGCAGTGCTCGCGCGCACTTTTGCGCTGCGTGCCACGATTGCATCAGTTTAAGGTTTTGATTGTGTCCGTGGTTTCGCGTCTCAGCTCCTCCAGTTTCGTTTTGGGGAGTTGGCCTCTGTCGGTGGCCATGGCGCCAAGTTTCCAGGAGAAGTGGGACGTCCTCCAAGTGGTTGATCGCAGTCTCAGTCAAAAAGGGAACAGACATTGCTAGGGACCTCGGGTTCGGTACTACTGCGAAACGAAAGACCACAGAGACGCAAGCTTCGGTGTTCCACTTGGGCTCCAAACAAGCTCGGACGGCAAAGCACGGCGAGTTGGAACGGCCTCTGCTAGTATGGTTTAAACAAACTTTTTATTTTTCATTTATTGTGCTGAAGTTTAGTATACTGATGTATTTCCCTGCGGTGATTTCAAATATGCAATTAGTTTTCAGGTGGTGTACCAGATCCTGAGTTATCAATAACTTTGTAATTTTAATTAGGTCCTCCTTAAGAGCCGTTAGCGTAAAATTCTTCAGAATATATAAGAAATATATAAGCTCAAAAAGGAACTCTTACTGTAAAGCAGTTGCTCGAAGCGCCAGGCAGAAATTATGAGCTATTCTTTTCACCTATTTGAGCTGACACACCCACGAAAGTTTGCATGAAATTAAATTGTGTTACGATAGTTGCTTTCTGTCTCGTCTTTAGCCCTTTGGGGCTAGAGACGAGACAGATTTTCCCAGATTATACTTTTTCTTTCGCGGTCACCTGAGAAACGTATCAACAAGGTTCTACTGTATATGGTTTAAAAGCAAAAAATATAAAGAACGTGCAATTTTTTTTTTTTCTTTTTACCATACAAACTTTTATTTTGCATTAATCTATCCACCATCATGACCGAAGAATGTGGACCTGTAGAGCGGAGCGAAACTTCTTAGCCGACGGAGGCAATCCGAAAGCTGCACGCCGACGTGCGAGGCAGCCAAGCTGGACGAGCGTGGCGGTAACTTGAAGCGCCCCGCACGGTTTCCTTCTGTGTGCAGAAAATCAGCCAGCTGAGCAGCCAGTGCCAGCAGCTGGGGAACAGCCTGCGGGCAGAGCGGGGCTCTCGGCAGCTGGAGTCGCAGCGTCTCCAGGCACGCCTCGAGGGACTGGTCGCCTCACCTGGTGGGTGGCACCACCACTCACCTTTGCAAGCACCATAAACACTGAATGTGCTTTACCAGTCGTTTTCCACGAGAACCTTGTTACGAACGGTAGACACGGACGAGTGACACGCAGTTAAAGTCATGTAGGATATCCCAAAGTCACCAGGCTCTATCTAAAAGGGACCGTAAAAATCGTCGCCTGCACTTGGCCATCTAAACTTTTCGTGAAAGGTGTATTTCACAGGTTGGGTTTTGCTTCTAAAATTACAAAGCGTAGCTGTTTCTGTAAAAAAAATAGGGCCAAGAAACTTGCTAGGGTCTATGACGGGCAGCGATGCGGACGACCAAGTCCACTATTGGGGTGGGTTTGGCACATTTATTGATAGATGGTGCTTCCTCCTTAACGAGACTGCTCGCGACCACCATGGTTTATTAAAATGAACATAATCTTTGTAATGTACCTTTGGTTAAAAGATAAATGCCGACAATAAAAGAAAAACTTAAAGGGAAAAAAAAAGTGTTTGCATAATGACGGCGCTTTTGCTGCCAACAGATTTCGTCTGCGTGTCGTCTGCTTTCTTTCGCTGGTCAACCGCACCTTCAGACGCTGCTCCTGACGCCATCTATCAATACGTGCGCAAAATGCACCCCAAAACTCGACTTAGTCGTCTCCGTCGCTGCCCGCCGTAGACCCTGTCAAGTTTCTTTGCTCTATTTTTTCTTACAGAAAGAGCTACGCTTTGTAATTCTACAAGAAAAAATCGACCTGTGAGATACACCTTTGACGAAACATTTAGATGGCTACGTGCAGACCTCGATTTTTATGGTCCATTTTAGATTGAGCCTGCTGACTTGGGACGCCCTTTACATAATGGTCAAGCCTGGGTTATACTATATAAAAACCTGGGTTATATGTAAAGTTTGAACCTGGATCGGTGTGCGATGGCAGTCGGGTAGTTTAGCCACTGGGCTGCGTAGCACAGCTCCGGAAGGATTGGGCGAGAGCGTTGCAATGTCGCATCGTGTCTACCCCACTGACGTCATGTGCGAGAGCCCCATAGGTGCTCTTGGTTTCACCCTGGCTAACAGGTAGGTAGTGCCTGTGCACAGTTAAACAACTAGCACAAACCACGCACCAAGCGTGGTTTGTGTTGGTGCCCCACGTGCCGCGTGTATGGCACATTGTGTGCTTTCTGGTCAGCCTGATGAAGCGGAGGATTGTTTTGTTGGTGTCTGCACTGGAGTCAACATACCATATTTTCCGGGCTATAGTCCGCTCCCGGTGTATAGTCCACAAGGGCTAATTTGGGGTGAAGAATAAAAGATTTTGCTTAGACTGTTCGCACTTGGTGCATAGTACGGACATGGTGCTTAGTTGACGCAAAAATCTTCTCGTACTCAGTACACTTTGACAAATGTCTGCTCTCTTAGCTCAACGAAAGAACCTTGTATTATACATGGATCATCATCAACATACTGTTTCATTCACAAAATCCGTCGCCTCTCGTCATAATGAAAGATCCTGAGAAACAAAATTCCTGTACTGGGCAGGAGATTGAACTATAGGAGGCGCTCTGACCCCTTTGTTGTCCCCATCCTCGGTGTTTACTCAACACAAGGCCTGTGCACATGCCAACAGGCCTTATGGGCATGTGCATGTCATCCTCTACAATAGAGCGCGGGCACAGTTTAATGTAAAAAATACTAACAATCGACGTGAAGTGCCAGATCTATCCTCAGAGAATGCAAGCTTCGGCTTTTGTGCGGAGCTGGGACCGTGCATGCTGCATTGTTCATGCAGGCCAGGGTGGAAACAGAAGAGCCCCTCCTCCCTCTCACCGGAGAACACGAACTCCAGCCGAACGCTGACGCCGCGTTCGGTTATGTCGGCCGAGCGCTGCGTCATTGTATTTGTTGTCCCCATCCGTGTAGTTCTAAAGTTAACCGCTTGGGGCGTCACGGTCGCTCCTCCTCCCCAATAGTCTCCATGTACAGATAATCCATAGAGCCTAAAATTTCAACTTTTAAACATGTATAACCCAGTATGGTACTTAATCCGCGATGAACGAATGGTTTGTTTTCCCAGCACCGGAGGAGGCGACGGGACGTCCCGTTCCGGAACGCAGATCTTCCCTGGGCGTCCGCAGGCACGCATCGCTCTCGTCAACCACAGGTGAGCCACCTTTTTCGAGAACGCAAGTCGGGTGGTGCTTGCCAACGGCATAAGCGCAGATTTGCATTCAATCGACGTCACGAAACCCAGAAATTGTAATTATTTCTGTCGCAACGAATGGCTGAAATAGAGAAAACGCTAGCACAGACACGCTTTGCCCTTAATAACGTTGCAAAAGGTTTGTCGCTCGGAAGCGTGTGGTTAGAGAGCATAAAGACCGACCTGCTAAATATTTTTCAACCAGGGTGAAAATCCTCCTTGCCACCCTTTCCCCCTGCTCTCCTGACATCTGGGGGACTCCTTTTGTTGCTGCACCTTGGGGCTGGATGAGCAGTCCCAAGATACAGCAACAAAAGGAGTTCCCCCTGCCCTCAAGATAGCAGTAAGAGAGGGGGAAAGGGTGAGGATTTGTACCCTGCTCCAAAAACTATTTTGCGGGTCGGTTTTTAGGGGAAGACATCAATCTTTGGACCTAAAAAAAAATCCGTAAAAAAGTGTTCTTTTTAATATGACAAGTCTGACAAGTTTCTTATATTGAAGATTAATATTTGATCCTCAATGCACGCCAATAAAATAATCGTAGCTTTCATCTAAAGCGTTTTAGACGCCGCACTTCTCGCACTTGTAAGAGTGCGTGACCGTCTCTTTGGAGGGTCGTCTTCCTAACAACTTGGCAAGCTCGTCGGGTTGCTGGGATTGCGAGGCCACGCAGTGCTGCTCCGTTTTTAATCTTTTCCCACCAGCGTGATGAACTTCCATCTTAAATAAAGTTTCCTAGTCGATTTTCTTTTGTTTTTTCATCTTAAAACGGCAGACACAAGTCTGTAGACGCGAGAGAATGCGCGCGATACGGATACCAAAATGGCGAATGTAAACAAACGGTCACGATGGCGATGGGGCTAGCCACCTTTTATTGAGTACTATTGCATTTTCCTTTTTGGAGTTTCGGTTCTTGGTTTCGATTGTAATGCGTGTGTATTGTTGGGCACCGATTTTGATGAAAAAAAAGTGTGTGTTAGAGTCGTGCAAACATGGTATTGACAATCGATAGTACTATTGAGTTGCACTTGACTTTTACTATTGATAGTGCTTTCGATAGTTTTGCATCACTACCCCGCACCCCTATCGCAGCAACAGAGCAAGGCCCACGACGATGTACTGCCAGACTGCGTTTCTACTGCGAAGAACTGTCGGGCATTTCGCTGCATCAGGCCGATCCGCCAGGTGCATACTGCACTCGGGCGTAGTGCGCCTTCAAAGCCTTCAAAGTGCTGCGTAGCGTTCACGCTTTGCTGAGTTCTGCCGAGCCAGAGTAGAAACACGAGCTCTCTGCTGGCACCAGTTGGTCATTGAAGGTGGCCGATATCGAAACCAAAATGCCAGTATTGGAACCACGCTTCAACTTTGCTTTTTCAATGTTTTCTTTTGCAGTGGGCCCAAAAGGTTGAGAAAGAACTGCAGTTCTCTTTTTGTTGTTTGCTCCGCAGAGTCGTCCAAGGCCAGCGGCCATTGCGAGGCGCCATCCCCCGTCAACTGAAGAGGGCAGCTAGAAACTGCGGTCTCCGCTGGCCAGAGCACCGACACTGGTCTGGCTGCTCCTCTGGTTGGAACCCTCCCCTAGTGACAGAAAGGTCATCAAGGACATCGGCTGAGGCGGGAATGAACTGGCCGCATGATCCCAGCATAGAAGATTGGCAAAACTGGCACGATGCACGGTCAAGCTGGAAACGTACAGGCCGCGATTGCAGTATTGGCAATATATTGGCGGGACATCGGCCAAGTTAAGGTGCTCGGTGGTGCGATCCCAGCGTGGAATATTGGAAATTCTGGCTAGATATTGGCAAAGTTAGAACGAACCAGCCACTTGGCAGCATGATGTTAGCACGGAAATTTTTGCCAAGCTGGCAAGATACCGGCTGGACATCGGCCAAGCCGGGAATACACCGACCCAGCATGGAATATTTTAAAAGCTGGCAAGATATCGGCAGATGCAGCATGGGCCGCACCAACGTACCCTGTGTTTTCCACTAGCGGCTAAAAAGGGCCCAGTGGCTAAACACACGCACATAAAAAGACTTTGGAAGAAATAGAATTTAGAGAATACTATATTATATGTTTACAAAGGAAGAGAGAGGTCTATATAGAATTATATAAATATATATTTTTACAGATGTTCCTTGTTAACAGAGAGCCAAAAGAGAGAGAATGGCGGGTAGCAGAAGTGGGCGATCGTGTACATAAACAAATGTCAGCCCGTCCGAATTTAGCAGACGCGTCGCCCGTCAACGTGTCCGCTAACTCGACTGGCAGGCACGCCGTCTGCTAACGCGGGGCAGCAGAATAGAGGAGCTTGGTGCCTTTTTTTCTACCACAATTTGTTTGTTTTGCCGTGTGCCGGAGTGTCATTGTTTGTTTCTTCGAGTGTTTTGCCGCTTTGTAAGCCTAACATTGTTGCACGGTAGTCCCCTAGATGGCACACACGTGGTCAGCCGTCCACTCAGGTCGTGCGTGCGTTTTTTTACCGCTCCCCCCGTTGCAGCCTGCCCAAGGTCCCCCTTGGTGTAAGCAAATACGGTCTCTAGATGTGCAATACTAAACATGTCCTCCCTCCCCCTCCCCCCAAGAGAATAAAGACGTGTGTTCTGCTGCTAATGGCATCTTGTCTGTCTGTCAAAATCAAAACAGCATCCAGTGCATAGAATCTACAATAGGCAGCACAGTTACGGCAGGCTACAAGTGCAGCTGTGATGTGGGCAAGACTGGTCTCGCAATTCGTCCCTCGCATCTATGTGTGGCAGCACGCGGATAATTTCATCCACTTTTTGAAACCGCTAGTCTCGTACCCATTGCATGAGTGGTAACTTAAAAGCATGTGCGAGGACGCGCTTTTACCATAAAATACCGGGGCAGCACCCGCCCAACTTTCGCTGAACACTGGCTTAATCTAAACATGGGAGCTTATCCGCTCAAATTGGGCGCATGGGAGGGTGCTTCTGCAATATTTTACGGTACCTCATTCTAAAATTTACCGTGGCTTTCAGTGACGCTAAGCGCAAGGGGGCAGAGGGTTTACCATGCTGACAACCAAGCTGCCACCGCTGCAGCCAGGAAGTGTTAAGGCTGCTACGCACAGTTGCGTTTGACAGCGTTGTGTCATCTACGCTTCATATGAAGAGTGAAATCCAATTCAAGGAATAGCTTGGCACGCAACCTAAGCAGGGATGCCCTGGTTTCTCACAGCCGTAATGCAGTCAAACTCTCAAATGCACTAAAACGCAACTGCATTTAGGGGCCTTAAGCGAAATTTCCCACCCACCCTAAATTGCGGTCATATGTTATTGCGCCGAAACCTTTTCTTACTAAAGCAAGCATCTTTGGCTCCGTACACACAATCGACTCTCAACCTCTTAATTGCACCATTAAGAGATACTCTCTTACATCCCTCTTTCATGTCTCAAAAATTACTTTGCAGCACCGCCACCACCGCCAGAAATCAGTGGCTCCATTTCACTTGAGAAAGCACCCTTTAGCTTGAAACCAGATGGAAGAGGCTTGTTGTCAAGTTCTTTAGTTGGAGACGAGTAAAAACAACCGGTGCTTGAGTACAATCAATTACAGGGTACCAAAATGTCATGGTACAAGAAATGCCTTTTTTTAGAAAACTACTCATTGCAAGTTTGCATTAGCTCACTCGGTGGAGACTTCTAGTGGCAGCCTTTGTTCCTACAGCAAACTTCAGCGGAAGTTTCGTAACCAGAAATGTTCCGAAGGACACTGGTTAGGGGTGTCGCAAACCGGTCGAGGTTCGAGTTTGATCAGGTTCGACCTTTTCTAACTTGTGAAAAGCTCGACAAAGATTCGACGCATCAGGCTGGCCAGTTGGCTTTGGATTGGATGGCGATGGCTAAGGGAAGAATTAAGGGCAGCACTGATTGGTTATTTCGGTTAATACAGTACAACAATTAGGTTGTTAACTTCCTTAGTGATTAGAATTAGTTTCTCTTAATTGCTACTGTTCATAAAACTAAAATAACCCTTGCATAAAAAAAAATTCTTCAGACCTAGACATGCTTATATCAAGGTCTGGCCCACTGACCACAAAGTCGAACCGGTCGAATCTGGTTAAAAGTTCGAAGGTTCGTCAAACCGGTTCAAGCCAGTCAAACCCCGAAGTTCGACCTAAAAATCCGGTTCGACAAAAGTTTGCGACACCCCTAGCCCCATCGGACCAGACCTACAAGCGGCACAGGGAGAGATCGCTCCCATCTCGCGAGGGGAACAAGAATCCGCTTGGCGAGCACTAGCTGTTTGCCAGGGGAAGGGGCTATATGACAGTTGCTGGATTGCACATCCCCGCTCCGGGAGTGCGGCCACCGGACAGCCATCTTGCATGCCGTTTTTTTTTGTTTTTTTTTTCGTTTTGCTAGCATTGCAGGGGCCGGCGGCAGCGTGCTAAAGATCCGTTTTCTGTTCGTTCGTCGTCATTCGCCGAAGACGTTCTTTAAGATCCTGTGTGACCCATGATACTTGCCGTTGAGAACACAAAATTTTTTACAAAAGTGCAGTGCCACAGGAAAAAGGCACAACTCGTCGAAAGTAAGTTTTGTCGGTCTCGCAGCGTGTTCAAAGCTTCCTTGGCAAGCCGAAGTGCTGCGTCTCTGCCTTCGCACGCTTGGATACCGATCAAGAATCGACGCCGTGTCGTTCAAGATACTAAAAACTTTTAGTAGAGCGTATGCTAAGGATTGCGAGCTATGTGGGTGCGTGCCCAATCCATGCTCAAAGGGACGGCACGAGGTCCCGCTAGCTCCCGCTATAGAAACGCAGTCCGTGTCTACAAAACTCTATTTACACGCAGGGAGAGGTGCATTCTGTCGTGTACCTGCTCTCGACTCTTGCTGCAATAAACGGGTAAACGCGTTATATTTTTGCAGTGCATGGCGATGTCCCAAAATTACTCGGGACTACATAAGCATTTTCTTTTTTTTAAATCGTCAGCTTTCAGAGGAATTGAAGGAAGCTTGTCGTTGCACCCGAGCGATTCCAACTCCGCTCATATTATTACGTTTGCCAGTCGAGACGTCTTCCCGTGCTTTACAACTCCCATAAAGGTCCAGAGACGCTAGTTTTTCACGTTAGAAACAAAACTGTCTTTATATTTGAAAACCCAAGCGACAAGGCATGCGCGCCTACACGAGCCTTGTGGACCTCACAAAGATGGCAGCGGGCCGGGGGGGGGGCTTGGCGTGGCGCAGAAGGAGGGCACGAAGAATTGCCCTCGATGGAAAGGAGGAAAACGGGAGTAGGAATTGAGCTACCTTAAGACAAAGCCGTGCGGTGCGTCTGTGGCACAGCAAAGGGCGCACTGTGCCCTGTTTCACCGCTCATGTTCCATGCTTTAGCTTCACTGACAATTTTTATTATTATTAAAAAAAAATGTAAGAATGTTAGCCATCAGAGAAGCAGAAAAACAAACTCCTGTGATACACAAAAAAAACCCCGGAATTTTCCAGCAAACAATGACACCTACGGTTTGAACATTTCTGATGCAGACAGCCAGGCAACACGGAAACAAGTGCCGGGCAAATGGACACGGAGCGAGAAATCATTGGGAAAACCTAACACAAAGGAAAGATATCTGAAAGCAGGTGTCGTAAATACATGACTGAAGGTGCCAGTGCAAAGAGGAAGGGCAAAAACATTTTGAGTATGAGCGTATTAGTCAGTTCCAAATTTTCCTCAATTTTCAGCAATGCAGTCCCGAAGGGGCATTCCAAATGGGTACAGTGCCAATTTACAGCAAAACCTGCTGGGCAGTGCAAGGGACTCAACTAGCAACGTCCCAACTGGTAGCAGGAAGTAGGGATGTCGCGAACCACCCTAGGTTCGATTTCGAAAGGTTTCGATATTTGCGAAGCGAACTGAGGTTCGATTTCGAAAAATGTCAATATTTTCGTACCGACCGAGGTTCGATTTCGAAAAATTCGCAACTTTTGACCACAGCGGAGTTTCGAATTCGAAAATTTCGAAGCTTTCACAGTTTCTAAAATTTCGAATTCGAATATTTCGAATATTTTTTTACTTCAGGTTCGATAAATTCGACGATTTCGAAATTCTTTGTAAAAAAAAAAAATTCGAAAACTTCGACCGCTTCGAATTTTTATAGACATGAAGTTCGAAGATTTCGAATTTCTTTTTGCTTAAAGTTCGAAAAGTTCGAAGGTTTTGATTCTCTTTTATCGTTAAATTTAAAAAAAAAAAAAAAACTGAAGATTTTTAATTTCTTTTTAATCCAAGTTTTCGAAGTTCGAAGTCCGATTTTCAAGTTTTTCCACAGTTTCAGTTTCAAATAACGTTTTCACGACTCACTGGTTTTCGCAAAATCAAGTTAAGTAAAGTTAGGGTGTGATATCTAGATTCTGCGAAGTTGGTCAGGCAATTAAATGAGACGACGAGTGTCCCGGACGTGCTAGAATATTTGCCAGTGCAGAATTGTGACCGCCAGCCCCGGGGGGGGGGGGGGGGGGGGTCTTTAACCTGCATCACGCAGTAGTGATTGCACGAACACACTGTTTTACGAAACTCATCCAGTTCGAAACAACCAGGGGTGAGCAGGAGGTTGAGGCTCAGAAAAACCTTGAAGCGACCTGGCAAACTAGCTCGCCACCCCTTGCACGCTGGTAGTAATCCGATCCGGTGAAGTTTATAATTGTCCTGGAGGTTTATTTTCTGGGACGGAGGAATCGCCTCGCAAAGAGCACAAAAGCCGACACAACTCGAGGTCGAGGAGCGTTCTACCATACAAGTGGCGTCGGAAGAGGAGAAATGAGGGGAAAGAGGGTAGCGAGGGGGGGGGGGGGGGGGCTTTAGCCTCCTTCTCCCCCTTGCAGGTATTTCGGACTGTTAAAGAAAACAATACGGGGAAAGAGGGCGTGGTCGAGCGTATTTTAATCTGAAATTATTTATGCATATGTATAGCTACTGTCGCTCTTCACTGCATAAAAGGTTGCGTAGATGGTCATTGTTAGAAACTCGTTGTCACAAGGCACTGCTCGTCACGTGCTTAGTGGTTCGGAAGTTCAAAGCTGTCTTTTCGACTAAACACCTGTGCCGATAGTAAAAAAAAAACAAAAAAAAGAATAAATGCGGGAATAAAAAGCAGGAGAAAAAAAAGACTATCAAGAATTCGTCGGAAGTGTTCTATTCTTGCATATTCAGAGGTTCAGAACTTCGAAACAAGTTTCTTTTACCAAAATGTGTACAGGCTAAAAGAAACACGTCCCAGGAACGTGAAGCCAAAAAAAAAAAAAGTTTTCTTTTAATGACGTGCTGAACTTGAGCACTATTAGAAATCTTCTCCCATGAGTTTATTCCTTAACGTGAAAAAACAATAAATATATTATTTTGTATTCTGCAGATGGCAATGATATGTACTGTCTGTGGTGTTAATCTAAATGCGATACCTCAAACAACTTGGACGATATTAAATATCAAGTTTAGGTCATAATTGCATGCAGATTCATGTTTGGACATTTCTTCGAAACTCGCGTTGAATAACAATAATCACATCTTAAGACGGCACTAACCTAGGCTATACATAGATCATTCTTAAAAACGTATAACATATCTACCATAAATAGCTCCGGCTGCAG